CTGCCTCCACATGTCATCTGGTGCTGCAGCCCAAGGGTGCTTTTTTCTTACTCCTTTCCAAGTACATCCAGAGACTCTTCGGCCACTGCTGCAGTCCTGCATGTCAAACCAGCTGTAAATACCTGGCATTTCCTTTACTTATGAGTATATGGTTTTCAATTTTGATCAAAACCGACTGAATCAAGGGAGAGTTTTGCTACTGACTTCTAAAGATATCTCTTTAAATATCTCTATCACCACCAGCCCGACTATCACCATTGCCCTTAACCAATTTTAGATTGTTAGAAGTTTCCTCCTAGCTTTTGGTTTCGCTGCAATCACCTACAATATCCTCATCTTCATCTACATTCTTAGAAACATCATGATTCCCATCAGGGGCATCTGAGAACTCTTCACAAAATGCTTCAGACTTACTACAGTCTCTGGTTGATGCTGCATGGTCTAGTTGTATTGGTTCAGCAATAACTGAAGAGTTATGGTGCTTGACTTCCTGAATGCCAGTGTCCTCATCATTAGCAATGTTATCCTCTTTCTTCTCTGCCTCTTCTGGAGTTTCCATGATTTCCTTCACTGCAGAGGAATTTAAGCTCTGATCATACTCATTTTCCAAGTCACTGCAGTCTTTGCTGATCAGCTGAGCTTCAGGAAGTACACTGTATTATATGCCTCAGATTGTGGGCACTCAGTACTGCACTGATTTCCATCATACAGCTCTTCATCATATAAGTCACTATTTGACGTTTATTTAAGTAAAGACTTAAACACTGGGTCTTCCCTCAGAGTCAGTGGAAAGCTTTCACTTGGGAGCAATAGATGGTTTGGGACTCCTAGACATAGAATTTGGGTTATGAAGAATGTCAGTCCTTGGCATTGAAGGAAAAAATTTGGAGACAACTACTGAAGAAAAGTGACCAATAACTTCTTGTTTTGGTGCTCGTGGTTGCTTTGTAGTTTCTGGAGAAAAGAGAGAAAATCATGATAGTCAACTTGCTGTCTTATTAAAGCCACCAGTCTATATTCTACAGTAGACTTTATCTTATACATTACACTTTGTCTTTTATAAAGCTGAACCAATAAAAGGCCTGTTCTGAAGAGAGAACTGCTACAGGAGAGAATATGTACTGTGCTTCCATGTGGCACTGCAGCTATTCCAGGGAAGGTGGTGCTCATGAACTGGGTTAGAGTTAGGATACTATGGTTAGGATGAGGTTGGACTTGATGATCTTTGAGGTCTTTTCCAACCTGAGCAATATTATGATTCTGTGATTCTGTGGTTTAGGGTCAAAATGAAACAAAGGCAGCCCCAGCTCAGCTGGAGAGGAAAAGGTATACAGCTGCAGAGCCAAAAGTATATCACACAAGTTGAGTAGCTTGAATACTTGCCTGTGCAACCTGCTCTAGGCAACCTGCTTTAGCAGAGGGGTTGGACTAAATTATCTCCAGAAGTCCCTCCCACCCCCTATGATTCTGTGATTCTATACACTACAAGCCAGGAAGTCATTCTTACTGATGAAACAGACTCTTGTGAAAGAAACTCCCAGTTAGATACACCCCCAAAGTCCTAAAAATGTAGGCAAATAATGAACTCTAAAAGCTCTGTGTGAGAGGGAAAAAGACTGTGCTTAAATGCTTGTTGTTCCAAACCCTTTAAATAAAGATTTGCCCAGTTTTATTATTTAATCTTAAACGTGAACCGTGATATGCAGTGTATATTTCCTACAGTGAATGGCTTGGTTACAGTGGTCAGAATATGGTTCCAAAGACAGGCAAGATGCCAAAGGATGGGGTAAGGAGAGCAACTCATCAATGAATCAGGAGGCCCTGTTCAGTTTCTAGCACTGGCACAAAGGCCAAACAATGTAATGCTCCTAAAGCTGCTGAAACATGTTCTCTCTGAAAAAGTGGCCAGCCCCACTGGGATTTAATCCATGTTAAAACTGTAAGCCCAAAGCTCAGTCCAGGAAAAGATGTTTAACTGTGAGGAAGATTTTACTCTGATCCAAAACAAAATTAGAAGTGGCAGGTTTCCTTCAGGAAAAGCAAAGACTGTAAAGCCCAAGAATTCAGAATATAGCTTATTTGGAGGTTTTTGCAAGTGTCCTGTTTGGGCAGGATACAGCCTCAACTGTAGCTGGGGGAACGGACAGTTTCTACACGTGCATGCCTAAGGCAATAAAAAATGAAAAGGACCACAGTTGAATAGATGTTATGCCATGGTTTTTCCTATATCTACAAAGAGGCAGGCATTGCCAATTGTCAGCGTGTCAAAGAAAGAAAGTGCATACCCAAGTCCATTGTCAGCTTTTACACTATCTTTCTGCATGGCCTGCAGACTGAGCCATGTCATGGACACATTGTTGGAATGGACACACTGGATGAAATGTTCCCCAGCCAAACTGCTATCATGCAGGACATCAGTCAGGTGCTCTGTACCAGCCTGCACAGCCCAGCAGCTCAGGCTCCTTCTACAGCGTGCCCTCCTGGAGAGCTGATTTGTGGTTTCTGACAGGCATGACCTTCTGATCCAACTAGACTAATCCAGTGCAGAGAACAAAAACACTGTGAGTGTATCTCTGAGCAACAAAGAGGATTTCTTTGTTTAGCTCTATAAGCAGGTGGATGCCACCAAGAAAGGGCAGTTGCCTTTAGGGCAGACACAGCAGATCATCTCCTTTGCTTCAGACTTCAGTACTGTGGCTCTTCTATAAAGATTTGCTCCCTCTACCACATTTCCTTTTTTATTTTCATCAGGATGTTCCTTCTATCAGAAAGCATATAATCTTGGTCTTTTTAGAGGGTTCAAGTTAGTAGGAACCATTCTCCCAAAGGAGTTCAGGAACTGCTGTGTCACTCAGCCTTTTGTAACCATCAGTTTTCTTCTACAGCAATATGTTCAACAGCCTGTTTTTAGAAGGAAACAATTCTGAACAGAGATTAAAAAGAACAGACTTTAGTCACTTCCTTCTTCAAGAAGACGAGTAAAAGGAGAAGAGATTTTGTGTTTTGCAAGCATTTCTTATAGTTTCCTGGAGCATCTACACTTTAACTTTACATCTCTATGATGCTTCTACTGATCTCTAGAGGTTTTAATGAATTCTCCTCATGTTCTTTTGTATGAGTGAAAATCCTTACGGTAATGCAGTTTGCTTTCCTGTTTTACAAAGATGCTGTAGGACCTGCCAAAAGTCAGATAGCAATTCAACCCACCAACATCCAGCCTAAGTCTACAGTCCCTCCTGTTTCTTCCTGTCACCACCCCTGGAGATCTAGTTATATCGTAAGAATAGGAGCCTCCAAGACTTAGCTAGACAGTTGTATTTCTCCCTTCCATGTTTGTTCTTGGTCTTAGCCTTCCTCTTTGCATGTGGGGAGATAAGTATACTGGGAGACCTTACAAACCATCATGATCAATGGTAATCTTTGACATGAAGGCAAATCTGTAATAGTAACAGTTACAAAGCATTTTGTCTGTTTTCTTCAGATCCATAGCACTCGTTTGCCACCTAATCACGCATTTTGGCATGTAGCCAGTCTCTCTCCTTGGGTAGGTCAACATCTACACACCCTCCAAGCCTTTTCCACCAGCCTTCTTGTAGGAAAGAAGAAAGTGGGAAGTGGAGGGGGGAAGCAGCAGCTCCCTAAGGGAACATCCTAAAAGTACGAAGCCAGAGGGATTGCATAAATGTAGAACTATGCAGCACCAATAAATACAAATTAAACTCATAACAAGAAGTGAAATATTAGGGCCAAGGTGACATTTGGACTGGAGGTTCAGCCAAGCTTTGCTTTAAATATTTTATTGCTGCAGATAAAGAAAGAGCTTATCCAACACGTTTCTCTCTCTCTCTCTCTCTTTCTCTTGCTCTCTTTTTCTCTCCCTATCAACCAAAGGGGAAAAGGAAAAAAAAAAATCTTAACTAGCTTTGGTTGTATTTGAGCTACACTTCAAAGTTTCACAAAAATAAACAGTTTTAAGGGGGAGGAATGCACACTTGTAAAGGGAGAAAATGCACTTTGAAGCCAGCAAGGGACTGCGTGCTCTACGTAGAGATTCACAGCATCCTGCCTGGAGCAGACAAGCAGTGTCCCCCTCCCCTCCAAGGAGCCTCTCCTCCCTTCGAATGGGGCTGCCTGGCAGCAATGGGTCTTTTGAAGGAACGTCAGGATAGCAGGAGCCAGTGCTTTGTTCTCTTCTCCTTCCCCCTGCTATGCCCCTGTTGTTTTCTGCTCTGATTGAAAGTTTCATATGCCGGTAGCTGTCACTGAGATCTGAGTCTGCACAGCACCTAGCACAGCATCAGTCCTGGATTAGGATGTGGGCTCTTTGGGGTTGACTGCAGCAATGCCAGTAATCTACATGATTAGAGGCGGGCTCTGAAATTTGAGAAAGGTGGAGAAGGGGTTGTTTGTCCTGCGCAAAGTCACACACGGAAGTGCAAAGCTTGGGGACAGAGCCTTCCTGGACATCATGGGGCGTCTGCACCCACCAGTCCTGTCTTTAGAATGAGTGAGATGCTCCACTGCTAGGACATCAGCCTTTGGGTTTGTCTGTCTCACAGCAAACATTTCTTAGGGAAAAGAAAGGGTGAGCTGAGGACTCTGAATGTGTTGGGCCCAGAGCAGAGGAGCTGAGGGGAGCTGATGGCTGCTGCAGCTCCTCACAGGGAGCGGAGGGCAGCGCTGAGCTCTGCTCTGTGTGATGACAGGGCCCGAGGGAACGGCATGGAGCTGTGCCAGGGGAGGGCCGGGGGTTGAGGAAAGGCTCTGCACCAGAGGGCAGTGGGCATGGAACAGCCTGCCCAGGGCAGCGGGCACGGCACTGAGCTGCCAGAGCTCAAGAGGTGTTTTTACATCACTCTCAGATATGTAGTTTGAATTTTGGGTGGTCTTGTGTGGAGGCAGGAATTGAACTCAATGATCCTTAGGGTCTGGTTCGAGTTGGGATATTCTCTATTTCTCTCTTCTAATCCCTTATTTCCTTCTCTATTCTGTCTCCACAGCACAGAGCCCCACTGCAGCAGACCCCTTGCAGCAAGCCTACGCTGGAGTGCAGCAGTACGCAGGTCGTTAGTATTAACACTTTCTCCCAGTAAACCTTTTTCTTCTCTAAATTCTGTAAACACACCTAAGGGGGCTGTGGGAAGGGAGGTGGATCCTGAGATGGGGACACCTGACAGACCTTCAGATTCAATTTGCAGTAGTCATGAAACCAAATCTAAGGACCCAGAGCCTCCCTAAGGAGGCAGCCACCTCTCATGAAGCACTGGGGAATGGCTCCCACTGAGCTTTACCTTGGTGCAGCTTCACTGACAGAACTGGGTCAGGCCTCCCTAGAACGTACAACGAGCAAGTGGAAAATCAGGCCGCTTGGTTTGCAGCCACTTTGTGTTACAGAAGATCTGGGGGTCTCCTGAGTGCTGCAGTGAGTAGGGCAGGTGGGCAAACAGACCCTGCCAAGCCACTGCAACTGCGCCTGGCAGGGCATCAGTGTATGTCTGCACCCACCCATCCTGTAGGGTATGTCTGAACTCTGCTGGTTCTGCATGTGTGAGACACCCCGGCACTGGCTAGCTCTAGTGTGGCTGGAGATACAGATTCGAGGCTTGTCTAGCTGCATATACTCCTGGTTTCCCAGCAGCTTCTCCATGACTTCCAGTGGGCAGACCTCTCTCACTCTCACGTCTCTGTGTATGCTGAGCAGCTCCTTTGCAGTTGATGGACTGACACCAGCCAAAGTGACCTGGTGCAGACCATGACCCTGCTGTGTTCAGCCTCCCCTTGCGAGGTGTCCATGGCCAACACTGCAAGGAAGCTGCCACGTCAAAGTCATTATTTCCTGTGGTAACTGGAGCAATCATAGGCTCCCGCTGAGGAATGGCTATTATTTCATGTCAGTGCTGTATCTGGAAACTTAATTTAATTCTCCATGTAGGGCTTCATTTGCTGGTATTTTAGTTATTGTCATTTATTGCTTGTGAGGTTTGATAGATGGGAAGCAGCTCAACCCTTTGAGCTGTTAATTAACCCCTCTGCACACACATGGCCCCTATCCCCCTCTCTCTGGGCTCGCAGGCGACCCGTACTCTGTATTTTTAGCAGCAAGGCACATCATCTACCATCTGTGGTATTGAATGGCTCCCCTTGTCTGCTTGGTGGGGGAGCTGAGGTGGGGAAAATTGTTTAATTGCTGCACACTGTTTCCACTGTGTTTGTGTAGAAGACTAAGTGTCTACAGACGTGAAAGGAAATGTATATCTGAGAATGCATGCACAAGTGTGCTTCTGTGCATATTCTGTATAGAGTAAGAGAGAGTGGGAATACACATGAGCTGTTGTTATAAGCATGTGTATAAATCAGAGTGCAAAAGAAAAACATGGGCATGGGCTCTGCGCATGCCAGTCAGCACAGGCATCAATACATTGAGCTCAAGAATGAGTGTTTTTCTTGTACTTCCTGGGATGGTTACCCATCTCTGGTGGGGGAGATCTCATGGATCTCCATTTAGACTGCCATTTAGATCACATCGCTGTTCCTGGTGCTTCTGCTACAAAGTTGAAAGAATGGATGCTCAGAGATGAGTGCTACTATCTGAAGCACCACAGTGACACTTCTATTATATCTCGGCCTATATGAGGTGTCTAAAATACAAGGGGAAAGCCCATCTCCAGCTTCGTGTGATTGTTTGATGTGAAAGTTTCTTGCTTCCCAGAACTGAAATCTATCCTTTTCTTCGCTCCCTTTCTTTTCTCAACAGCTGCTTATCCTGCTGCTTATGGCCAGATTAGCCAAGCGTTCCCACAGCCACCTCCCATGATACCACAGCAACAGAGAGAAGGTGAGTGAGTGGTCTGTTGTTTTCGCTGCACCCAGCATGCCATCCCCTCCACACTGGTTCCCCTCCTCATACACCTAGAGAGCATCCATTAAATGCCCCATTGCTTTGAATCCCTGGTCCACTGAGTCTTTTCTCAATTTCCATATGTGGCGTTATTGGCACACTGCAAACATCCTCATGGGAAATTCCTGCCAAGATCTCCTAAGATCCCAGGGAGAGGAGCATGCTGATGTGCATGGGCCATGGAAAGGCCTGTTAGCAATGTGGGCAATAACATCCAGTGCGGATTGTTAAAGACAGCCAACAAGAGTAATTGCACTGGAATAAAGAATTTAATAGGAAACAAATAATGGTGATCCTTCATTAGAAGCCAGTAATGTAATTTCAGACACCTGCTATTAAGTGGAGCTGATCTAGTCCTTTCAGCATCCCTGGCAACACAAATCAGCCCTTTTAGAGAGTAATATCTGTATGAGGATGAGATTATTCATGTAGCAAAGATACCTGTTTCTTTACACTGACTACAAGAGGAGCCTGACTTATGTACATGGGACAGGATAGTTGCACTGGAGACAATGAAAGCGTGGATAGATGAATTTCCCACTGTTGCATGTGATTGTTTTGGGAGGGATCTGCATCATGTAATGCATAGCAACCAAAGACTTCCTTTAATGAAGAGAGGAGTCATTTATGTTTGCTTTACAGCTAGTAGAAAACAGTAGGAATCTCAGAGGCAACCTGGGGCTCAGATAGCCCCAACCATCCTCCACTACACTCTTTGGACAAGAAACTACTTACCTGAGTGAGGCATTTAAGTCAGGTACTTCAGCTTTGTGTAGGGACCCTCATTTTAAATAATTATATTTCAACTTTTACTCGTTACTAGATCACTAATTCAGATATATTCTATATGTGTTATTATATATATAATTACATTTAATATTTTAATACAGTGTAACAGTCAGAACAAAATGAATCAAGATTAGACTATCAAACTAAAACATCCTGATGGCCTAGAACTACTTTGGGGGAGAAATCTCATTTTATGAGAAAATTAGAAATGTCAGCAATTCGATCTAATTTGGAATTAATTTTTTTCTGATGTCAGAATTTCCTGGGGAACACAACTTCCAGCTCCTGATTAGCTCTAGTACACATCCCTGCTGTGAGAACAGATGCACAGACCTAGCGTATCATTACTGAGATGTTTCCCCCATGCTGAAGGACTTTGCTTTTTATTACTTACTGGGGCTAGATTAAGCACAGGACAAAATGGAGAGCAGATCATTGCTTAACATAGCATTGTGCCAGGAACAATCCAAAGCAAGGAATAACTGTTGTGCACACTCCAAGCACCATTGCCCAAAGATCCCAATGTTCATAAGGCACAGTGTGTCTGTGGGTTGAGGGTGAGTATCACCCAGTGTACAAGTTATCTCGTAACCCTTTGCTCCTTTCCATAAGCAGCTGATATTAAGAACGATTGGGGGCCAGGTATAGAAGAGGAACCACTGATTCAAGGCAAGCAGCCATTCCCAGTGTCCTCCATTTTCATGTAGTGCTTATCTGCTGTGGTTTTCTCTACTGTTTGCTAGAGGGAGAATGTCTAAGACACAACACTGCATTTTAGCAGTGAGTCAAGACCTTCAAACCTCTCTACACTTTAGCAGGAAGATGTAGCAAGAGGGAACTCTAATAATAACATACTCAGTGCTGAAAAGAGTGCTTTATGTTTGCAAGGATGTGCGCAAACATTGATTTGTTAATGAACCTACCCTACCACAACAACAACATTGATGATCACATTGTTAATAATGATGCTAACTCTCAGCTCCTGAATCCTGGTTGGATAACAAGCCCAGACTGCTTGGCTGCTGCATAATTCCTGTAGAGATTAGTCATTGCTTCCACATGAGTGCTGAGGCTGTTGGCAGCTGATGAGTTGCATAGGATGGAACAAATCCAAAATTACCAAAGGTAGAGACAAAGTCTTAACTCAGACCATGTCAACCAGGCAAAATTTGGGGGTAATTTCAAATTTGTATTGTATTACTCATCTTGACATAGTTTGTGAAACTCAGAAATACACTTGGATACTAAAATAAAGTAGGGCAGGTTTATTTCTCCTGCGTTCAAGTATGCTGAGAACTAAATAACAAGCAAAGAATAGGCAACAAGTTACAGCCTCTTAGTGTTCGCTGATGAGGTGAGGTATATTTTTACTTACTGTGCATCCAGACAAACGACTGCTTGCAAACTCTGTACATCCGTATGGGACAGCTCATGTTTAATTACTCATATTGACAGTTGACACCCAGAGATAGGCTGGGACACTGTTGTCACCATCCTAAGTGAGTAGCCACAAGCTGGACAGTGATGAGCATGGGCAGAGCAATGACTTAGCAGTTCAAATCCTACCAAGTCAAATCAACACAGACTCAGAACAGATCTCTCTGCCATATGTTCCAGTGTTCCCAGGCACATGAGTTTCTGCTATCCAACATGGTTTGCCTGTAATATGCAAATCGTTCATAAACTGTGTGTTCCTTACAACTTTTATTTCTTTTTGTCTGAATCAAGACTATCTGTGCTTCCAATGTATTAATGAGCAGAAATACCTATTACTTAAAGCAATAAAACTAAAAGCCATGGTAGGTGTCAGGATAGAAATGAACCTTGATTCTCTTCTCATAAAATGTTGCAAGGGTTAGATTTTGAGCTGACTTACAGCCCTTTTGAAAACCAAAGTAAAGTGCTTAGTAAAGAATTTTAGTATTGTATTCAGCCTTGAACTGCCAAGTGTACCAATCTTCAGTAATCCATTAACTCAGTCCAAAATAAGACCTTTCTCTTGGCAGTAAAATTTTCACTAAGATTTTGCCACACCAACAGTAATCTTGTTCCAATGATCTTGATCCCTTTAAAACTCCTTGCATATGTGTACTGAGAACTAACTTAGCTCTTCATAGCATTCTGAGTGGAAGAATTCATGCATTCAGTCTCTCAAAAATATATACATATGCAGAAAGAGATGGCCATATGCATAATTATGTTGTCTACTGTAGACTGACAGAATTAACTTGACTCATGAATAAGAGAAAAACAAGGTAGAGAGAGCTTGTTTTGTGAATTCTTTACCAAGGAGTCTAACTGTGATAGGTAACTTACGGATGGATGGATTTAACAAGAAATTGGTTGTTAAATTCTAATGGCAGAATTTTCATATGTGAGAATGATAAAACAAATCAAACTACCCCAGGTTGTTTCTCAGTAGCATGTGGACTAGCAAAAATCCTCTGGAACTGGGAATGGAGTGAGTTTGGCCTTGAATGTTTGAGTCAGCATCGGAAGCCACAGCATGGGTTTCAAAGCCACACTTCAAAACAGAACTGGGCTTTGGTCTCTGCTTTTTCACATCCTTCCTGGCCTTTTTCTCTTGGTGTCCGAACACTTTAGACAAAGCCGATTTTAAGACGAGCTACGTGTTGTTCTCTCCTTGAGCCCAGCCTCCAAGCCTGGGGTGGATGAAGTTGTGTGCTTCTGATCCGCCTTATGCCTTAGTAGGTATTTCTCAGCGCGTGCAGGCAGAATCTCTCTACTCATGCACAACACATCCAAGACCCCAGGAAATACAGCTGGCATTTTTGAAAGAATTTGCCAGTTTTACAGAGCAAACTGCTGGCTCTGGTGATGTCAGTGGGAATTTTGCCACTAATTGCAGTAAAGCCAAGATTTTACCCATTCCATAATAATGCAGATCTCAAATCCCACAGCAGAAGTGCTCTGGGGCACATTCAGATGAAAAAATGAAAATTTCCCTACTATTCTGGACCATGGTCTTCTCCTGGGCAGCATTTTCTCAGCTCTAACAGACACCTAAGGGTGTTGGTGTTTGTTTAACATTTTCAGACTGTTTCATATCTAGCTTATTGTGCCAGTAACTGCATTGTATGTAACTGAACTGCAGAAAGGACTGAAGAAAGGATAGTGACTCAGTGGGGAGACTAAGGAAGAGGCAGTCAGGAGCTGAGGGGAAGAATGAAAAGTTTGGCATGAAACAGGGGAGTCTGAGTTTCAAAAGTAAATTAGTTAAGCAGATGACTGGGTGACTAATTGGTTAATTATCCCACTGTACCAGTATCCCCCCCACTTGGAAGTAACTCAGTCACCATCCCCATGACCTCTAGGAAATGCACGAGATGCAAAGGATCAGCTGTTCCTTCGTGACAGTCCTTTTAGCAAATTAGTGGGGAAAATTGTGCTTAGCAAATATTCATTAGGGCTTCATTTTCCATTAATCCAAAAGGAAATGTGGAGAGCCTGTGACTTCAATCATGCTGAGGCCCAGGAATTTTAATGAGCTTTAAATGGGCATCTGTCAGAATCCTGACTTTGCCTTACTTCTCCTGCCAGCCGGGGGGATGAATAATGGCTAATAAAAGGTGGGAGCATCTAGGCGAACTCCTCTCTCTAACAGGAAAGGCAAAGTTGTAATTTGCTGTGTTATGACACCATAATTATGCCCCAATGAAGAAAACAAGAGTATTAAAAAAACCTTTTCCTTCTCCACACTGTGCCTCAGCTTTAAATGGGGGAAAGTAGGCTCAGTTAGGTCACAGGGATGTAAGCACAGGAGCTGTGTGGAAGGAGGGCATCCTATTTCACTCTTTCCTCCTACCCTCAAGGAGAATGCATTAATTCATCTGGACCCTGATGAGCAAAACAGAGCTGGAGTTACCTGTGGAGGTCACTGTAGCCCTGGGCAGCAGCTGGAAGTACCCTTGGAAATAATCTCTCCCACCCAAAAAGTCCCTGCCTCCTGAGACTCCACAGTTCTTTGCTGCTGACTTAAATGTTTGGGTTTTTTTTCCAACAAAACCATTTGTCTTGTACACAAATGTGTAGTGTTGCACACTATATGCAGTGATACCAGACACATTGTAAGCCAGAGGCAGGTCCTACCTCAAAATGCAATCCCAAGAGAACATTTTCCATGCCTCAACATAAACAAAAAGACGTATTCCACTGAAAGACTTCTTCTCTGCATATTTTTTACAGTACTGAAGAGGAAAAAAAAAAAAAAAAAAGAAAATAGAAAAGGCAGTCCTCTTCCGAAGTCCAGGATTTGGGATTTCAATCCATCTATCATCTCTTTTGAGGAATCCTGTGGAATGAGACCAAACTGTCTAGATTATGGGGAGTCTTTGGAGTTAGTCATATTGTGGAGACTGAATGCAGAGTTCTACAAAACAAAACAAGTTCATGGATCTCTGTATTTTCTCTTCTACTGGTATCTCAGTCTTCACGGGAAATGGGAAAAATACTGAAACATTTGGGTGCAGACCCAGGGAAGTAAAGGTTAGGGGGTGGCCACCCAAAACTCTACAGATTAAATGAGGTACAAAGAGAACCAAGAACTGGATATATTTTCTTTATGTTCTTTTCCTCTGCTTTATTTTTCCATGGCCACATGTGCTCCTGCATTCTTCTGATTCTGCGTTTTATCCTGGTGTTTGTGCTTAAGAAGGTTAGCATAGACACATGGCGATTTTCTGAGTTCCTAGTCTGCTTTCTTTGTTCCTCTTAAAGTGTCTTGAAGACCAACATGGGAGAATAAGAAAGGGTCATTATGACAGATGTCACGTAGCTAGGCATGAAGTTCTACAAAGAGCTTTCAGTATGGAAAAGAGGAGTCTCAGGAGAGACTTTATTGCTCTCCATAACTACCTGAAGGGAGGTTGTAGTGAGCTGGGGTTCGGCCTCTTCTCTCATGTAACTGGTAATAGGACTAGAGGGAATGGCTTCAAACTGTGCCAGGGGAGATTTAGGCTGGACATTAGGAAATACTACTTTTCTGAAAGAGTGGTCAGGCACTGGAATGGGCTGCCCAGGGAGCTGGTGGAGTCACCGACCCTGAAGGTGCTCAAGGAACGTTTGGATTTTGTGTTGAGGGATATGGTTTAGTGATACTAAACTATTGGTGATAGGTGGATGGTTGGACTGGATGATCCTGTACGTCTTTTCCAACCTTGGTGTTTCTGTGATTCTGTGAAGTGGTAACAATAAAGAGATGAGCCACTAAAACTCAGAAAGAACATCCCACACCCACTGTTTCCCAGGTGAGACACACTGAGGAGCCCTTTCTTCAAGACCCCTAAATGCAGGCCAGGCTCTGCAGACTGCTTACTCACAGGTATCCCTCACCAGTCGGAGAGAGGAGACACACCAAAGTAAATCCCACTGTGTGTGCCTTCTCAAATCCCACTTAACTCTATTCATGGTTCTTATTTTTCTCTTGACAGGACCAGAGGGCTGTAACCTGTTTATCTACCATCTGCCCCAGGAGTTTGGGGATGCTGAGCTGATGCAGATGTTCCTGCCTTTCGGTAATGTCATCTCCTCGAAAGTGTTTGTGGATCGGGCGACAAACCAAAGTAAATGCTTTGGTGGGTAAAGATAACAAAACAATTAGATTCATCCAGGAAAGGGCTTTCTCTGAATACTTTACCTTTCAAACTGCTTTCTTTCTGCTTAAGCTTTTATGATTTCTCTCGATTTATTCCTGTCAATACTTTCCCCCTTCCCTCTTTCTCTCCTAATTGTCTCATGCTCAGAATTGTATGCGCTGCTTAGAGGTGAAGGTTTGGCATCTCACCAGCAGCTGGGTGCTGCAGTTGCTGGTGGTGGGGTGGAAAATATCTTGCCTCATAAGGGGAGGTGACAAAGGTGCAGAAAAGACTAAAGCACCTGCAGCAGAATGGAGGAGGCCAGGGGGTTAGATGAAATGCTGATGGGGTCAGCAGTGGGAGCATGTGGCAGAAGGGGAATTTCTGTATCCAAGACAAAGCAGGAACAGGTCATGAAGTCAAAGGGAAGACAGAGCTTCAGGGGCAGCTCTCCAGCAGGTGTGATGCATTAAACTGCAAAGGGACAAAGGCTGAACAACATTAGTTGAATGCCTGTAGGGATGGCTGCTCAGTGAAATGCCAGCAACCATGCTCTGAACCCACCAGACCTGAGCCAGCGCTACAGCACATACAAACAGCCTGAGATCACCCTGTGCCTCAGCTGGGTTTGAATAAATACTGTGCTCACACAGCTCTGGGCATATGGCTGGCTCAGCTTCACCAGCTGGAGCGTGAGTGGAACACAGCCTCAGCTGCATGTGGTCCGCCAGACAGGGACACCCCAGTCTGCACCCACAAGGTTGGATCAGCCTGCCAACAGCTGTGTGACAACATGTGTTTCAGTGAGATTTCACTGTTTGCAAAAGTGTTGCTATGGAAGGTCCTTTCAGGCAGTGCTGCAGCAGGTGGACCCTGCCACTCTGCCATGTGGCACTATCCCACTGGTGGACTGTGGATCTCTCCCATCCTCATGTTCACCAATGGGATGTGAAATTTCTTGTCCTGTGCCACCCAGTATTCCTTCCCTGAGAATTACAGTGGGACAAACTATTGCTTTTCTGTTCCTGTTACCTGCAGCTGATCTGGACTCTGTTTCTCAGGCAAACTTCCAGAGTTAAGACTCGTTGGAGTTTCATTTGAATTAAAAGTCACTTTCAATCTCCACATTGCTTTCCTTCCATGCTACTTTCCCCATTCCCTCCCCAGACAGCCCAACCTCCCCAGACTCCTACCTCGTTCCTTGCTATGGTGCATGACAGACAGCACTTCCAAGAATTTTGTGCATCTTCTCTATGCACAGTTTCTCCTTGCCCTCTACAGAGGATCAGACCAGGTTGCTGTTTGATTCTAGAAGTGTTTTCCCTGGTGTTGAGGACACAGCAATTCCCTTCAACAGCAGTCATGGGATTCCTGTACTCCCAAACACTGGAAGAAAAAAAAAAAAAAAGATATTGGTTAGAAGAAGCAGCTGGGAAGTTCAGATGAGAAATTATGAATTATCCGTATTCACTCCAGAGCCCACCTTCTTTATGGAGTTTTAACCATATAAAAGTTCATAACAAAATGAGCAGACCAGCACAGCTCTAGGTGACATTGAAAACTAGGGCTCCAAGGATATCAACAAGTTAGAAACAGACCTTTGGGAGTGAAATTGCTATTCCTATCATAAATAATATTTAGAAGAATACTGTGCTTGGCTCCTCTCATAATTGGCAAGGGGAAAGGCAAAGCTAAATGGAGATGTGAGGTGAGAAACAGATTCACCACATCTCCTCTTATCTCAAAACCTCTCTGGCTGTAAGGCATCATGAGGATAACAACACATACCTAGCTTGTGGATCAGAGTTGTGGGGCTGGCTTTATTGCCACTTCCAAGGTACTCTGAGGTTGTGGCTGAGCAGAGATTGGGGCATCTTAGCACAGTTTTTTCTTAAGCATGAGTCTTACTCGAAGAACCTAAACCACACCTTGTTTAATGCAGTAACATTCAATGCTGATGTTAGATTGTTCAAGCTTGAAAGCAGGAAGGTGCACTGCGGATGTACAGACTCAAGACCAAGCAAAAAGAGGAATTAGAGATTGCTAGTAGATTTTAGTCATATTAACTTCTGAGGTACAAACATCCACATTCAGTCAGTTTCGTATGCCAGGTGTCAAGTCCCAGTTTTCTCTGACTTTTGCTTGTTTTTTTTTTTTTTAATAAAGATACTAACAGCCATGTACAGCACATCCAGAAGGACAGAAATGGCAGAAGTACAGGTAGCTAATTATCACAAGTGTGTCACTCTGCTCTTCAAAGCTTCCAACCCTGCTAACCTTCAAGTTTAGAGCAACATAAAACTGTGGAGGGTGTTAGAGATAATCAGACCTTTCATTTGTCTTGCTAAGTCCATTGCAGTTGATACCGGTTTTGTTCTGAAATCCTACCTTTTTTTAAAAAAAGGAAAAATTACTTTTTCCAAAAGGATTTTTGTCAACTTTGAATATAAGAAAACTCTTTCCTTTTTCTGCTTAAGCATTTCCCAAAACTCAACATGTAAAAACATAGCATTTGCATTCTGTTTTACTTTTTTTAACAAGCCAGAGCTCTCCAACTGGTAGCCTGGGGGGACAATGCTGTCTGGCCCCAGAAAGATATTCCACCATTATATGACCTTTTAAAATGTATCTGCTATGCAGATCCCAAGTAAATTGCTCTAACAGAGTCTAGCCCCAGGTCGTAGAGAAATTGTTAAGAAGTCCTGCTTTTGACAAACTTAAAAAATTCCATGGAGAAAAATCTCATTTTTTTTCCCCCCCTATGGAAAGAGAAAATCTTGATTTTCTGTTCTTCTGTCACTGTTGAAGTACTAATAGGTAGCCAGCCCAAAGTGAGCGGGTCAGGAGAGCACCATCTCAAAAAGGCGCTTTCATTCCTTCCTGTTTGTCTCTGAATCTGCACTTCCCCTGCACTTTCAGCACAAAGATGGAAGCATTATCTCCTTCAGCCACTGCTGGAAGGATAGGGTTGGGGAAGACATGAAAGAAAACGAGACCAGTTACAAACCTTTCTCCCAGTTTCCCAGAGTCCAACATCCTGCAGAAACTCATTAATACCTGTGTGCACTGATAAAAACACACCCTGGTCACAGAGCCTTTGACTTTCTGAGTTCAGTGGCAAACATTGTGAAATTCAGACTATGGCAAGCACTGATTTCATGCAAAAAAAATGTGAAAGTAGTCAAAATATGTCTGTTGTTTACCATAGCAGGTCTGCTTGCTGCAGTATATGAGATTGCCTGAGAAACAAACCTGACTTCTCACTGAAAAACAGCCATTTAAAAAGGGAGGCTTCTTTGCCTAAGATTTTCCTCTTGCTGCATGCATCCAATCTGGACCCAGATCCTCCCTCTTTTCCTACCGTTTTTCAGATCTCTGGCTCTTATTTTCCCCTCTATCCTGATGCAGCTGAAATGTGTCCAAATACACACCATGCTCCTCCCTCGCACTCATCACCACCCTCTCTATCCCCATGGCCTGAGCCCTCATCACACTGACCATATTAGCATCTCCTTGGGATTCCTCTCAGGCACTGCCTCGTCCACCCTCTTGTATTCAAAATTATTGATTTCACTTTCACAGCCCTTCACCGTTCTGTCCTTCTCTCTCCTCTCCTGCTAGCTCTTCACTCAATGCCCAGCTGATATTTTTAGCCACTTTAACCACACACTTCTTCTACCATCACTAGGCCATGCTATCCTTTCCCAGTAAAATGGCAGGGCCACCATAGGATCTGTTGTCTAACTTAAGAAAAAAATACGCTATTTTTACCTTGCTTTCTGGACAGCAGCTCCCAGTCTCACAGTAGACTGATCTGGGTTGTCTTGCACAGGACATAATATGCCTGACCATCAACTTCTACAGGACCCTCGGGCACTATTTTGTGTCAGTATAAGGCAGAGACTTCCCACTGCATGCTGTAAGTTCTTCCATATGTAAATATACAAATATCAGTATATTGATGTGCTGGTCACGATGGTTCTATTGAAAACTTCCCTCTCAGATATGTAGATGATTTAATTGTGAGTCATTTGTGCATAAGGCAAAAAAGAAAAATCCAGTGATATGATGCAATTAAAGCTATTAAAGTCAGCGTGAGAAGAGTCACTCTTCATGCTGCCCACCCAAAGTTAACTGTCCCTCTGTGGTAAATATTAAGAATTTCAGGAGCAGTGTTGCTATACAGAATATTCTTCAAGAAGACATTTGAAGACAGTTGAAGAACTAGTGAAAGGCAAAGATAACCCTGTTCTAGGAAAATGTTTTAACAGAGAAGAGAAGGCAAAGGATAGGTTTGGGCAATATTAATTAAAAAGACATGACAGAAATGAGAAAAACGAGGAAGTGGATGGAGCAGCAGAGGCCAAATGATTACCCCGAGGTGTCACAGAAGATGTAGATAAATTAAAGCAAAGAAATTGTTATACTGGTGCACTTGGAAATTCATTCCTCTAGTCACCTCTTCTTGAGAACAGTGAGCACCTGATGCTCTGTCTTTTTGCATTCATCAAGCATGAGACACTGTCAGAGTAACTCTACTCCACGTGCCCCATAATACCCATAATGTGCAGCCCCTCACTCTGTGCCTGTGCCACACACCCTCTGGTGTGGCAGCTTCAGTTTCTCCCAAGAAGCCACTGACTCCAGAATGCTGAGAATAATCGCCTTCATGCCCACAGGGACACTCCTCCTCCTTCAACTCAGCGTGGTCTGACACCTCAAGTGTGAACCACATCTTTTGGATGCTTTTCACTTTTTCTACTCATGGATATTCACATGATGTTGGGATGCCCCATCTCTTTTTGAAAGTCCCCATTTACATATAGCAAGGGGCATTCTAGCTTCGTCTGCAAACTCTGATGGCTGCATAAAACCATAGGTTTATTTGGCCTAAAGAAAACATCATTTGATTCTTAGTATAATATGGATGTCAAGTTTCTTTCCAGATTCCTGCCAAGAGTCCACCAAAATGTTTCTAATGGGCCACCCGATCTGGAAAA